GAGATTAGATGATACTGAAACTTCCAATACTCTAGTTCAACATAGTGAACACAGTGATAATGATATTGATAATAATGCATTGTTGCAAATACTGCAACAAGTTACCTCTCAAAAATGGTATATAAATGTTACCTTAGTAGTAGCTGATCAAATGTATATATCAGATCTTATAGCTCTAGTTGATAGTGGTGCAGATCTAAACTGCATAAACGAAGGAATAATTCCTTCCAAATTCTTTGAAAAAACTACTCAAACTTTAAGTAGTGCTAATGGCAACCAATTAGAAGTAAAATATAAATTACCACAAGCACATATATGTGTGCAAGGGACTTGTATACCAACTCCCTGTATATTAGTCAAAAATTTATCCCAACATATTATTCTGGGAACTCCATTTTTACATACTATTATGCCCATTAGTCAAATTGACACTAATGGTATTCGTGCTCATTTTGAGGATAAAGAAATTATATTTGAGTTTATCACAGATCCTCAAACTAGAATGCTGAATGAAGTTAAAAATATAATTTTAAACGAAAATCAAATTAATTTTCTAAAAGAAGAAGTAGTATTTGTTCAAGTTGAAGAACAAATAAAAAAGCATAAAGACTTAATAAGTCAAATTGAAAATAAATTTAAACTCACTGTATGCAGTGATGTTCCAAATGCATTTTGGAATAGAAAACAACATATTGTTTCTCTACCCTATATAGAGGGATTCAACGAGAAAAATATTCCCACTAAATCTCGTCCATGTCAAATGAATCAAGAATATCTTGATCTTTGTAAAAAAGAAATACAAACTCTTATAGAAAAGAAATTAATAAGGAAATCATATTCTCCTTGGAGTTGTACTGCATTCTATGTAAATAATGCAGCCGAAAGAGAACGAGGAGTTCCTCGATTAGTTATAAACTATAAACCCTTAAATAATGTCCTTAAATGGATTAGATATCCAATTCCTAATAAAAGGGATTTATTGAATCGCATTACTAATGCTAAAATCTTTTCCAAGTTTGATTTAAAATCAGGCTATTGGCAGATCCAAATAGAAGAAAAGGATAAATATAAAACTGCCTTTGTTGTCCCATTTGGACATTATGAATGGAATGTTATGCCATTTGGGCTTAAAAACGCCCCTTCTGAATTTCAAAATATTATGAATGAAATTTTTATTCCTTATACGGATTTTATCTTGTCATATATAGATGATATTTTGATTTTTTCTCATTTTTTTTAAACTTAAAGTAAAAAATTTACCATGCATCCATCTTGCTAATATTCATTGGTTCAAAATAGTTGAAACCGATGCCTCTAATATTGGTTATGGTGGCATATTAAAACAAGTAGATCCCGAAACCAATAAAGAACAGTTAGTTCGTTTTACCTCTGGTAAATGGGATAAAGCTCAGTTTAATTATTCCACAATTAAAAAAGAAATGCTTTCAATCATTAAGTGTTTCTCTAAGTTTCGAGATGATATTCTAAATCAAGAGTTCTTACTAAGAATTGATTGCAGTTCTGCTAAAAGCATTATCGAAAAAGATGTTAAAAATCTAGTCTCTAAGCAAATATTTGCTAGATGGCAAGCTGAATTAGCTGTATATCAATTTAAAATTGAATATATTAAAGGAGATTATAATCATCTTCCTGATTTTTTAACCCGTGAATTTTTACAGGGTACAAATGAGACGGAGTAATCCCTCATTTTCAGGGAGGGGGAGAGGAGGCCTAAGTTCCAGCCCAAGTCCAAGCCTAGGCCTTATAGGCCCAAATGATTCTGAAAGGAGTTATACTCCATCTCAACAGCCCAATTCATGGCGCACTATTTCAAAGAAACATAATTCTTCAAGCTCATCTCAAGCCTTTTATAAAGGCATAAACGATCTTATTGCACAGGAAAATACTCCTGAGCCCTTTACTTCTATAGTAAGGCAAGAAACAGCATGGGTTGAAAAACCAACCTCCGATATTGTTCTATATCTAGAACAAGAAGATGTTTCCTTAATGAATGATCCAGAGAAATTAAGGCAGAGATACTTGCAGGATACATATTATCCGACATTAGCTTTAAAAGCAAGAGCCTGGATAAAAACCCTTATGATGCAAAAGGGCATGGAAATTACATATTTCTGGACTACTGATAATCATAATGTCCCTCCAAGCTTTAGTAATTGCATTATTCAGGAAGTTATACTTCCTAGAAATTGGGCACTAAATCCTAATCAGGAACTGCCACTTGTCAGAGTTCAAAATACAAAAGAAGTTTATAGCTTTAATTATTGGGACTATAAACAGGCCTTTCATGAGGTATTCTTATATCAGAATCCCAAACTGAAACACACTTGGCTTATAAAAATTTGTCCTGGAGCTCTTCAAAAGGGCGTTCCTACTTGGTTCTATAAATGGTGGGAAACATATGGCATTGAAGTTGGTATTATTCCAGAACCCATAATGAAGTTATACTCGTCTTGGGTAGATTCTCATCCTATTCTTACACGAATGGACGAAAGCCAGCTTATAGATGGCATGTGTTTAATGCACTTCTTTGCTGAAGTTGAGATCCCATGGATCTAGAATTGGTCTATTATTTGTGATTGGACCCCTTCTCATATGCCCATTCTAAGAAGAAAATATTATTGTAGATGGTGGAACGGAATATGCCTTGATACTAAGGTAAAAGAACTTGAAGAAATAATACAGAAAAATACTTCTGTGCTGGAGTCTCATATGACTCAGGAAATTAAACAAGATAATCCTATGATGAAAGTTGCCAAAATGATGCGGCGAAAATATCCCCAAAGCTCTGAATCAGAAATTAAGCAAAAATGTTTAGAGCATTTTAAAAGGCAGTTCTTTGAAGCCTTTGATACAAGTGAAACTAATAGTCATACTTCATCTATGGAAGAAGATATTCCCTTACCCGATGCACAAGACCCTGATGATATTTGGGCCGAGATTTTTGACAAAGATATATCAGACCTTAAAGGGAAAAGCCCAGCTTCCTAAGCAGCATTCTAGATTGAGCCCCGGGGAGCCGTCTAGAATTTACTACTAATATAAAAGTCTTTAAAAGCAATAAGAAGAAGTCATACTTCCTTAATGAGATGGGCCCCAATGTTTCCTACTATTGCAAATTATGCATCCTAAGCTTCTCGTTTACGAAGGGTCACTATCAAGAAGTCACTATCAATGTTTAATATATTAAGATAAGAATCACCTTTCAAAGATGTGCCACGAAGCATCTCTCGAGATTTCTAAAAACATCTGAAGGCATCTGAAGGTAGTTATAAATATGAAGTCGAGTCTGTGTGTATGTAAGTTTTGGAGAAAGCCTTGTAAGTGAGAATAAAATATTGTAAGAGTGTTGAGTGTTCTTCTGTAATCATAAGAGTGTTGTAAGTGTGCTTGTAAAATATTGAGGAGCTTAATAAAGATATAGTTTTGAGAATCGGCAAGCGTACTCTGTAAGTATTTACTTTCTTTCTGTTTTATACCGCTTTCTAATTTCTGGTATCATATATATGTTGTACTATTATATATATTATAGTATGTGATATTGTATAATAATATATAATAAATATCATAAAATAAATTATACGTATAAATTACAAATTATAGTATTCCAAATCCCAAAATATCTCTTTTTTCATTTTCCTTTTAGCCTTATCTGGCTTTTCCTTTTCCTTTTCTTTGAAGAATTTTTTCTTTTTCTTTTTAAAGAATTTTTTCTTTTTTCCTTTATTAGGAATAACTTCTTTATCAGCCTTATAAGGTTGATTATAAGCGAATTGCTCGCAAAATTCACCTAATTCTTTACGTTTTGTAAGTCTTTGAGACTTTAATTGGTTTTTGAGCTTTAAGTCATTGCATAAGGCTAGGCCTTCTTTAATACAGGCGTTTGACAAATACCCATATGATAGGTTATCGTAGGGAATATATCCCCCAAATTCAGCTCGAATTTTATTCCGAACTCTTTCAGCAAATAAGGTGGGTAAGCCATCTATGAATTTAGCTTTCCAATGTGAGCTATTAGCATCACTTAAAGACATAACTCTACTTAAATAAGTATCTTTATACCATCTATAATGGGTCAAAGATGGACAACGAAAATTTTGTAATAGTGTCCTTATTCTTTCACCTTCATCAAGGTAGGCACCAGTAAAATGGTGAGCTATAGATAGCATTAAGGTATATACAGCATCTTCTCGCTGTATTCCATTTTCAATTTTCGTTGCTCCTAAGATTTCATTACGAGCATCAGCAGAGAGATAATTATCCCACCATCCTTTAAGGATACCAGTAAAACCGCATGATATGAATAGGGCTATATTTCTCTCAGTATTGCCATTTTGTTTACATATAGTACCATACATTAACATACGATGTATAGTAGCATTAACTTGGGTATCGGATAACCCATCTATATTCCATTCGTAGATATGTCTACCATTATAATCTGCCTGTAGAAAGGCATCATTTTCTTCAAATAAGACATCTGCTGGAGTAGGTTGCTTATAATAGTACCTTTCCAGTCTTTTCTTAGGATAATTTTTTATTTTATTTATTTCTGTAAAGTTATTCTCTACAGCCAATAATTCTGTTGGAGGTATATCTCCAGAACTATCCGATTTATCGGATTCACTATCTTCTTCAGATATATCCAAAGAAGGTGATGCTTCATTAAGCGTGTGAATTCTAGCATGGGTTAATTTAGTGGCTAGAATATCTATAATTTCAGGGGTTATTTCACTATCTCTCTTAAATCCTGAAATTTCAACTGGAGGTTTAATAGTGGTTTGTTCTAATTTTTTAGAAAAACTTTTAGACTTATCTAATAATGATGGTGTAACATCATTAATTTTAGCTAATAATTTTTCTAAAACATCTTCAATTTTTATAAGTTGATCTCCTATTGTTTGAAGATGAATATTAGTATAATTATTTTGTTTAATAATTCTACTTAATTCTCTCATGTGATCTTCATTAAGATCATTGTTTTTTTTTTTTTTTTTGATGGCGGCGATGAGAACTAAACGCAGGGCGGTGGTGAGCAGCTCGAAGAGACTCCGGCACCGTCGTCGAGGGTTAGGGTTTGGAGGGTGGTGAAGTCCGGTTGCGGAGCGGAGGAGAGCAGAGAAGGTTAGTACTTTTTTTTTTTTTAAGAACAAGGGTTAGGGTTTGGAGGGTATCGCTCTGATACCATGTTGAAGGATCAAAAACCCTAATCAATTGAGTCATTAAGATAGTTAAGAATACATATATATATGCATACAAAGAGGAGTATGGTTAACGGGTCACAGCCCATTAACCCAATACCCAATAAACTTATTCTAACAATTCTCTTATTTACTTTTCCTTCGTATTCATGTTCAGCGGCTTGAGTAAAGAAACAGATGAGAACATTCTCACAAAGATATCTAAAATCATCCTCTGTATATGTGACCAAGTCATTGATTATGCACCTCTATCAATTTTCAGATCTGTCCAACTCGTTTAGTTACTTCTTCTTAGGTGCTACCGTCACCAACTATGGTAGTTGAGTCTTTAGTAGGCACCACTTTAGCTTTCGCCTTGTTAGTTCAACCTCATCTCTGATTACAGATCATCCAACAAATAATTAAAAAAAAGGAGAGAAATTCAAATTCAGATTAGACGGAGATTGAAAGTAAAGGCTGCAAAAATAAAATAGTACAACCTTCACTTCGTGTCATCAAGATATTGACTTTTTCACTCCCCAAATCCAGGCACTTTAAGAGCAGCAATCCTGCAGGGCCCTCTCAATTTATTTAAGACAAAGGTGGCAAGAGCTTCCCGCTCAATGTCTTCAGCAATTGTCAAGATAAGATAACCACCCCTTGTGGCATCATCCAAAACATTGATCATATCTCTTGCATTTGTAATTTTCTTGTCAACAAGAAGACAACTGAAAAGAAAATTTGACGAAAAGATCAACTGACTTCATGTCAATAGTCATAAGAAAACATACATAAAAAATAATAAAACCATGTCACAACACCAATTTAAGAAGATCTTTAACAACAGACCTTGCCATTCTCATGTTCAACTGGTATCTTTTCACTGTCAGTTACGAAGTAGGGGCCCTAGGGGGAGATATAGCCATGATCAAATTACATTCCTTCTACCACATAGAGGTTCTTTTCTCCACATTTACCCTCATTGACTGTCACTACACACCTTACTCGTAGCCTTAACTACCATGTTCCTGATCTCGTAGTTGTTTCCAGTACTTACAGGCTACATCTGCTAGTGCTAGCTCTCTATCTACAACCTGAACCATCAAATTACAGAAGTTGGTAAAGCTTAAAAGTTTTGAAAACTACTTATGTTGTAAAACAAATTCACATTGAATAAAGTATCATGGACCGATAGCCATACATTTAACGGGGGAGGAGACAATTTCCACAAGACAAAAATAGTCAGTGCAGGATCCCTCTGCAGTTAACACCATCAAATTGGTAAAAAATAACAATAGATCATAGGGTCTTGAGTTTCAGATACTAAGAAAAAAATACCATCTTTGACAAGGGTCCATAATGGTTGGGTTCAACATCTTGGTGCACAATTCATAATGGCATTGATTATATATTTACAAAAACATCAAATGTTAAATGCAATAATAACATTACTAATGTACATTTCCCGCAATTGCTTTCAATCCGTATAAATATTGGAATTTTTTAATTTTATAAGATTCAAAATTTATCAGAATTAGGGTTTTGAGAAACATGAATCTAAAGACAAAAGGAAACGTTTAACAAAATTAGCAATAACCAACAGTATATAAAAAGAAAGGGAAAAGAGAGTGCAGTTACCAGAAAAGGATGCATGTATTCAACGCTGATGATAAACCCTAATTTCCCATGAGGCGAGCAAAGTATATGGATCGATAGCCAACAGTTTAATGGGGGAAGAAAATTTTCACGAGACAAAACAATAAGTACTACAGGATCCGTTTGCATTTAACACCATCAAACTGGTAAAACATAGCGGGCCCTCAAATCATCAAACTTAAGAATATTGAGATAACTAGGGCCCGTGAAGAAATTATAATAGGAGCGGAAGTCATTTCTTGGGTAAAGGCATCCTAAATAACGATTTTAAAAACCAAAGTCCCAAATCCTTCACAAATCTTTGGTTTCAGAAAGGAGAAGCATCCTTACTGGATAATTGCCATGCTCACTACCCCATCAGCACATCAATTTTGGATCAACAATTCAGACTTTGAGAACCCAAATCCGATTTCACTAGCTCGCAAAACTCATGATCTCTCACGAACTTTATAGTTAACAAGATAGGTATGGAGAGTTAGGAAGAGGAGCGTGTGTCTCAAATGGAAGCAGCTCTCCCAAAAAAATCAAATATCATCACACCAGAATGACCACACATCATAGGGTCTCGAGATTCGAATACCAAGAAGAAAACCATTCTTATGCAAAAGGGCCCACATGGGTCGGATTCAAACAGTTTGGGGCACAATTTCATACTGGCATTGATTATTTGCTTACAAAAATAAACCTTATCCGGGATAGGAAAGATCAAATGATCGGATGCAATGCAATAATACCATTACCAATGTATTCCCGCAATTGCTTTTCAATCAATATAAAAATTAGGGCTTTTTTTATAAGATTCCAATTTTATCAGAATTAGGGTTTTCAAGCAGCAAGAATCTCGAAGGCACTTAGCAAAATTAGTTGTAGACTACAGTACATAACGAGAAAGGGAAAGGGGAGTGCCGTTACCAGAAAAGAATGGGAGCACAGAACCCCGACGATAAACCCTAATTCCCAATGAGACGAGCAGTTATCGGTCAAAAATTACGATCACTGCCGTAGAATCCAAGCCCTAAAAAGAAACCAACACTGCAATGAGAAAGAGACCGCACTATTTGTAGCCCTGCTGCTGCTCTTTCGTCGCCTACGATCACTGCGGTGACGGTTGAAGGACCATCGCGGATTGCATATACAGGCCGAGAGTTGCTTAGGGGCTGTTTGTTTAAAATCCCAAAATTTATGGATATGAATGTCATCGTACAATTTGAAATCCATAAAATTTTTTGTGGGTTTTGGAATCTCTAAAATTTTGTTTGTTTCATCAATATTTTGGGATTTGGAATACTACAATTTATAATATTTTGTTTGTTACATTAATATTTTGGGATTTGGAATACTATAATTTGTAATTTATACGTATAATTTATTTTATGATATTTATTATATATTATTATACAATATCACATACTATAATATATATAATAGTACAACATATATATGATACCAGAAATTAGAAAGCGGTATAAAACAGAAAGAAAGTAAATACTTACAGAGTACGCTTGCCGATTCTCAAAACTATATCTTTATTAAGCTCCTCAATATTTTACAAGCACACTTACAACACTCTTATGATTACAGAAGAACACTCAACACTCTTACAATATTTTATTCTCACTTACAAGGCTTTCTCCAAAACTTACATACACACAGACTCCACTTCATATTTATAACTACCTTCAGATGCCTTCAGATGTTTTTAGAAATCTCGAGAGATGCTTCGTGGCACATCTTTGAAAGGTGATTAGTAACTTATCTTAATATATTAAACATTGATAGTGACTTCTTGATAGTGACCCTTCGTAAACGAGAAGCTTAGGATGCATAATTTGCAATAGTAGGAAACATTGGGGCCCATCTCATTAAGGAAGTATGACTTCTTCTTATTGCTTTTAAAGACTTTTTTATTAGTAGTAAATTCTAGACGGCTCCCCGGGGCTCAATCTAGAATGCTGCTTAGGAAGCTGGGCTTTTCCCTTTAAGGTCTGATATATCTTTGTCAAAAATCTCGGCCCAAATATCATCAGGGTCTTGTGCATCGGGTAAGGGAATATCTTCTTCCATAGATGAAGTATGACTATTAGTTTCACTTGTATCAAAGGCTTCAAAGAACTGCCTTTTAAAATGCTCTAAACATTTTTATACGCTTGCCAATTCTCAAAACTATATCTTTATTAAGCTCCTCAATATTTTACAAGCACACTTACAACACTCTTATGATTACAGAAGAACACTTCAACACTCTTACAATATTTTATTCTCACTTACAAGGCTTTCTCCAAAACTTACATACACACAGACTCCACTTCATATTTATAACTACCTTCAGATGCCTCCTTATGATTTAGAAAGGTGATTAGTGACTTATCTTAATATATTAAACATTGATAGTGACTTCTTGATAGTGACCCTTCGTAAACGAGAAGCTTAGGATGCATAATTTGCAATAGTAGGAAACATTGGGGCCCATCTCATTAAGGAAGTATGACTTCTTCTTATTGCTTTTAATATATTAAACATATTTATATGTTTAATGGAGATATACCTCCAACAGAATTATTGGCTGTAGAGAAGACCCTTCTAAAAACATCTGAAGGCATCTGAAGGTAGTTATAAATATGAAGTGGAGATATACCTTCAGATGTTTTTAAACCAACATGTATGTATTTATACTTGTCCAGATATGGATTAACATCTGCAATTCCTAGCAGTTGAATTATTTATACTTGTCCAGATATGGATTAACATCTGCAATTCCTAGCAGTTGAATTGTCTGTTCTTCACTATCGACTGTAGTAGTCCTTGAATTGTCTGTTCTTCACTATCGACTGTAGTAGTCCTTTCTAGAGTTTTAATATTAATTAAAGACTTTGTAGTAAGTGAGAATAAAATATTGTAAGAGTGTTGAAGTGTTCTTCTGTAATCATAAGAGTGTTGAGTGTTCTTCTGTAATCGTAAGAGTGTTGTAAGTGTGCTTGTAAAATATTGAGGAGCTTAATAAAGATATAGTTTTGAGAATCGGCAATATAAAATATTGTAAGAGTGTTGAAGTGTTCTTCTGTAATCATAAGAGTGTTGTAAGTGTGCTTGTAAAATATTGAGGAGCTTAATAAAGATATAGTTTTGAGAATCGGCAAGCGTACTCTGTAAGTACTTACTTTCTTTCTGTTTTTTACCGCTTTCTAATTTCTGGTATCAGAGCTATGTTTCTCTATTGCATGTCTGCTTAGATTTCATCTTGCAGTTTATCTATTAGTTATTAGCTTGTAAGAATGTAGAATATTTATATGTTCTTTTAATTCTCTGATTAAGAACTTAGTTTGAATGCTTATGGGACGTCAAAAAAGTCGCGCAGTGTAAACCCCGTTGTTGCCGGATAGGCTGTTTAGGGTAGTGTAAGTCGTTGACAGACGTGCAATAAGAAGGTGTGTGCACATATATGTGTGCTGGAGTCATGGGTGATAAAGATATATCAGACCTTCTCCCCCTCCCTGTATATGGCATTGAAGATGGTATAAAGATACTTATTTAAGTAGAGTTATGTCTTTAAGTGATGCTAATAGCTCACATTGGAAAGAGAATACTTCAACACTCTTACAATATTTTATTCTCACTTACAAGGCTTTTTCCAAAAACTTACATACACACAGACTCCACTTCATATTTATAACTACCTTCAGATGCCTTCAGATGTTTTTAGAAAAACTTACATACACACAGACTCCACTTCATATTTATAACTACCTTCAGATGCCTTCAGATGTTTTTAGAAATCTCGAGAGATGCTTCGTGGCATCAGATGCCTTCAGATGTTTTTAGAAATCTCGAGAGATGCTTCGTGGCACATCTTTGAAAGGTGATTAGCTAAATTGATATAATCATCTTAATCCTGGATCCGATAATTAGCATTCAAACTAAGTTCCTAATATTCTCTTTATTCTCTAAAAAAGAGAATATTAGGTATCAGAGCCATGTTTCTCTATTGCATGTCTGCTTAGATTTCATCTTCTTGTTATAACTGTATATCAAACTAAGTTCCTAATAATAGACCAGATTTCATCTATAAGTCTAAAAACCCAATTTATTCAAACTAAGTTATTCTCTAAAAAAGAGAATATTAGGTATCAGAGCCATGTTTCTCTATTGCATGTCTAAAAAAGAGAATATTAGGTATCACAGCAAGATCTGACAAGAAGATGTTTCCTTAATGAATGATCCAGAGAAATTAAGGCAGAGATACTTGCAGGATACATATTATTCGACATTAGCTTTAAAAGCAAGAGCCTGGATAAAAACCCTTATGATGCAAAAGGGCATGGAAATTACACATTTCTGGACTACTGATAATCATAATGTCCCTCCAAGCTTTAGTAAATGCATTATTCAGGAAGTTATACTTCCTGAACATATAAATATTCTACATTCTTACAAGCTAATAACTAATAGATAAACTGCAAGATGAAATCTAAGCAGACATGCAATAGAGAAACATGGCTCTGATACCAGAACTTAGTTTGAATGCTTATGGGACGTCAAAAAAGTCGCGCAGTGTAAACCCCGTTGTTGCCGGATAGGCTGTTTAGGGTAGTGTAAGTCGTTGACAGACGTGTAAGCTTTTAGCTAGGTTGTTTTTTAGAGAATAAAGAGAAAAATAAATATTCTGCCTCCTTACTAGTTAACTAATTAATAGATACAACTGTAAGAAAAAGATATGTCAGATCTTGCTGAAACATCGGTTCGTAAAGCCAGTTATACTGGCATGAAAAAGGTTAAAAATGCTCAGTTAACTGAATTTGAAACTGACCTAGAATCACTTAATAAGTGACATATTATAGCACAGAAGTGTTTATATTGGTTATATAAATATATATAATATGTATAATATATGTATATATAATATATTTTTATATATGTATATATAACATATTTCTATATATGTATAATATGTCATATGTGTGTATGTATATACTCTCTCTTAGTATATAAGTATATATAAGTATACTCTCTCTTATATAAGTATATATATGTATAAGTATATATAAGTATACTTTCTCTTATATAAGTATATATAAGAATACTCTCTCTTATATATGTATAATGTATGCATGTATGTATATATATACTCTCTCTTAGTATATATGTATATATAAGTATACTCTCTCTTATATAAGTATATATAAGTATACAATCTCTTATATATGTATAATATATGTGTGTATATATATATAATAATATATATATATAATATATATATATATAAAGAAATAACTCTCTTTTATATAATGTATAATAGTATAGTATATTAAGATGACAATAATTATAAGCACAAGAAGTGTTATAATATTGGTTATATAAATATATATAATATGTATAATATATGTATATATATATATATTTTATATATGAATATAATAACATATTTCTAATAATATGTATAATATGTCATATGTGATGATATGTATAATACTACTCTAATCTAGTATACATAAGTAATAATATAAAGTATACTCTCATCTTATGTAAGTAATAATAATAATGTATAAGTCATATATAAAGTATAACTATTCTACTTATAATAAGTATATATAAAAGAAATACTCTCTCATATAATATATGTATAATAGATGCATGTAATGTATAATATATACTACTCATCTAGAATATATTAAAGATATATATATGATAATAGTAGATTATATAAAGTATAACTTTCTCAATATATAGTTATATATATATAAATAAATAAATTATTATTAATATATATATATATTTATATATTATATATATATATTTAATATATATATATATATATAAATATATATATATATATAATATATAATATAAAAATATATAAATTATAATATATATATTATTATATATATTTATATATATATTATATTTATTAACTAGAATACTTCTTTTATATATGTTTATATTGTAGTTGTTATAATATATACTCTCTGCTCTTAGTTATAATGTATTATATAAGTATGATCTCTCTCTTATATAATGTATATATTTAGTATATTCACTCTCACTTTATATATGTAATAATATAATG